TGGTACTTACTTTAGTCCAGTTGGCAGAGTGTAATCTTCTATATGGAAGGAATTATATCTTGTTCATATGTGAATATGCTGTGAGTGCTAAAACCGTGCCTTGGAATAAAAATGCTCGATGAACCATGTGAATTTACGTTAATGTAAATTTAAAGCTTCAGACTGCCAAGGTCAACAAATTATAAATCACACAAAATTCATAGATGAACACATGCTTAAAATTGGTGTTTTAAATTTAGCTTTAAAAAACCCATCTTCCACTGAACTACTGAAATATCTTTAAATAAAACTTTTAAAGCAACACAAAAACTAAATTCACTAGGAAGTTTCCCTCTACTCCACTTATTTGATTTTGGTGTCTGGTGACCTAAAATCCTTGCCTATAATATAAGAGGAGGAGCCTCCAGGTGGTACAAATGGTTAAGCACTCCACCACTAGCCAAAAGGTTGGCAATTTTGAACCCACCCAGAGGCACCTCAGAAGACAGGCGTGGCAATCTGCTTCCGAAAGGTCACAGACGTGGAAGCCCCTATGGAGCAGTTCTATTCTGTACACATGAGGTCGCTATGAGCTGGAATTGACTGGATGGCAACCGACAACAACAAACAATACAAGACTCACTGCAGATCTTTTAAAAGTAATATAATTTCCACATTTAGAAAGCCACCTATTATGGGATCAGAAAAATTAACATTCTTCTTTATTTCTGCACTTAAAATTCTACTGCCACATTCACCACAAATAATAATAATAAAAATAATGAAAGCCCAAAAGAGACAATTACTACATTTCCTGGTGCCTACCTAGGAAACCACTTCTGAACACACCTACAAGTATCCCCAGTAAAAGTCCACTGGTTACAAACTGCTATTCCCTTCTTCCCAAATTACTTCACACTCACACATTCACACACCCCTAGTAAAGAACACAAATGTCTATAATAAAATACAAACATGGATATATATTAATTTGGTTTTGGAAGACTTAAATCTTTCCATAAGCAGCCCCTCAACTTAAAAAAACAAAAGTCTTGATTTGAAACAATGCTCCAAGCCTTTTTACCCCAGTTATCTTAGACTACAACTATTTACCTATTATTTGATTGCTATTAAGCCTCATGATAAATGGTTCAATAACAATGCACAGATAATATGTACTAGTCTAGAAAATTTCATGAATCAGTTGAAAATGGACCACACCCCAAACAATACTGATTTTGTTAAAAAAAAAAAAAAAGAAGAAGAAGAGTTGAAACAATTGATTTCCACAGTAAATAGAAAGTTAAAACTATCTAAAACACTACAGATGAACCACTAGCTTTGGGGTAAAGGTTTATTGACTGCCTACTATGTGCCAGGCACTAAGTAGTTACTATGCATGCTGCAGGTGCATGGATAAATAATAATACCTAACATTTATAGAAAACTTTTACTCATCTCAATTGACCCTCAGAATATCCAGAGGCATGACCACCCCAGTTTAACAGTTAAGGAAATGAAGGCTCAGAAAAGTTAAATCAATTTGACCGAGGTATCACATTTGGTATATGAGTCCTCACGGAGACTTGGTCTTTTGACACATAATTTAATCATCTTCTGCTGTACTAAAAACCAAAAAAAAACCTCTTAAGTGTTCCACTGTCAGATTTTTTAAATAAACCCTACTTGACGACTGGCAGTACTGCTTGTGCCTTATCAGATTCTGTTAAGAATCAACGCACAAAAAAGCAACAACTTTTTAAAAAGTCCTCAGCTTGTGGACGTTCAGCCTCACAGGCTAATCCTAGCGAATGCACCGTGTTTCCTTCTGGATGCGGAGCGCTCCCACTCTTTCCCAAGCCCAAGCGCACCCGGGCACGGCGGGGGAGCGAGCCTACCAGAGCACGGTGGGGCCGAGGGTCCTCCGAGGGGCGACCGCCCGCCAAGGCCCCCGAGGTGGGCGGCGAGAAGACTCTCCACCTGGCTCCGCCACAAACCGCGCGACCGACTAGCAAGGCCCCCAAAGCCCGGCGTCCACGGAACGCCGGGGTCTCCCTTCGGGTTGGGGAGGTGCTAAGCAAGTGGGGTCTGGGTCGACACCCCTGCCAGCCCGGTTCGGTGGAGCCAACTCCCGCATGGCCCGCGGAGGCGGCGGACGGCCGCCTCCCGATGCCCAGCGGGCGACGCCAACATCCCCGAGTGGCCGAAGCCCCTTGCGCCCTCGGACCCAGCCGCGGATCGCCCCGTTCCTACCTGCCCTCGGCCTGGACGCCGCCTCCGCGGCCGCGCTGCTGGGATCGCGCTCTTGTCCGCAGAAGCGCCAGGTCTCGTTGGCTTCACTCGGGATCGCCTCCGTCCCGCCCCGGCAGCGCCCGAGCGCAGGCTCCGCCTCGCCCGGCCCCAGCCCTACCCGTGTCAGCAAAGCCCGGTTCTTATTGGCTCCTTTTCCCACCCTTCACGCTTGGGCCCGCTCCCGGTACCTCCCGGCGACCCGGTCAGCGTAGGACGAGAACCTTATTCCGGACCTTAGGCGGCCGCTGCCGGGAGGCTCTAGCAGGCAGGCGCCCGGCAAAGCTCCATAGTCCTTTCCGTGCCTGCCGTCAGACCGTCCCCATGGCCACGGGCCTAAACTTTGTGACGTGATTGAAACTTCACAACCCCGCGAGGTAAAGCCTAGTTTAGTCAATGAATCCAAATGGCACCTCACTCAAGGAAGCCATGGAATTGCAGCCTGCCACAGGGTTGGGTAGGCCTGGTGTCTCCAGAGAAACATTAGTTCTGGCTGAGCTCAAGGAGCAAACATTTTCCGGGCAATTCTAGTACGCTGCCAGCTTGAAACGTAAGGAGATGCAAACAACGCTCTGAACACCTGAAGCTTGAAATCCCAGAGCAAGGATGTGTTGATACTTCCAGAGCCTGAGGTCAGCCCCCAACTCCTGCTGTGACACGCATGCATAAGCACTCCTCCTGCAACACGCTCACGCTCAGGTATGTGCATGGCGTGGTGCCCACTGCAAGCAGTAGCCCAGTTTCACTAAGGCTGAGAGTCAAAGATGAGTTGAGCCTGTTTCCCAGGCACTCGCTAAACACCCGGCCCCACCCGCCCTGCCCCAACTTACCCCACCCTACCCATCCCACTCCACACCACCCCACCCCAGAGCCTCCTGGTTCTGGTGACCAAACTCTTCTCACATCCATTCACATAGAGGTACCAAAATAGAAGACCGCCAGAAAGAGGTGTTTGGTTACACATCACAGATGACTGTCACAAGCTAACGTGACAAAAGCTCATGAAAACCACAAGCTGTGAACAATAAGATAGAAATTACATTCTATGATGGAAAAAAAAAAAAAGTAATGGCAAGACTTCCTAAAAAAAAAAATCGTATCCGAATGAGGAAATAAAGGTGAATATTGTTTGTAGTAAATTTTGAATACTGATCTTTATGGACTCCTCACTTACCCCCCCCCCGAAAGAAAAATCCTTAATTGATGTATTTAAAAAATTTTCCAGTTTTCTAAAAGCAGATTTCGAGCTAGCATAGTGTGGATTTGAAATTTATTTTTTAAACTTTACATTCAGGAAGATTATTTGGCAAAATGAAGCAGATTGAATTACAAGTACCAAATATGAAACTATATCTGGCAGGAGTTCTATGGAGGTAATGAATGAATTCACATGTATGTATTCTACTGCCCTCTCATGGGTAAGATAGATATGTACATAATGGTAGTAAATGCCGTTGTAAGTCTGAGAATACAATGTTTAATTTAGCAATTTATATTATTTTGATGACGAGGAGCCCAAGATAAAACAAATCACGTTCTCTGAGGGACTTACAAATTACTCAGCAAACAAAACTCCAATTTTGGAAGCCAGGGAGAGGATTCTTACACCAGAGCTGGTATAAACACATCAACAGGGTCACACCTATGCTTAAAGGTGTCTGTACAAAATGTGGAAACAAGCAGGAATTTACTCTTAATTTTTTTTTCCATTGGAAATGTCATTGCTTTCTGAGACGTTTCACAAATGCTGTTTTTCACATTTGTATCCAATACCCTGTAACTTCATGGTATGAACAACTTGAAGGTAAGAATGAAATCTTATTCTTCATATCTTTGGTGTTTTGAATAGTTTCTGATACTTAAAGTGTTTGATCAGTAATTGCATATTAAATAAATTGAATGAAATATCAGCCTAACCACTAGATGGCAACACGGTTGTATGTGTAAAAGTATAGTTTGGCCATTTGGTGTTTCACCTTACCTTGAGTAACAGGCATGATTCTAAAAAGTTACACATGTACCTTATTTTAGGAGCCCAGGTGGTACAAGTGGAGACCCAAACCCACCCAGCAGCTCTGCGGAAAAAAGGCCTGGTGAACTGCTTCCATAAGATTTCAGGCAAGAAAACCCTATGGATCAGTTCTATTCTGTAACACGTGGAACTGCCATGTTATTTTGGTAAGGAAAACCATTTAAAATGTACCAGTATAGCTCACTACAACCTTATTGTCAATTATATCCTTAATACTAAGACTACTTTTGTAAAATAAATTCCCTCTAAGTATAATAACACATCAGTACAGATCTTCTACATTGGGTACACCTGTTCTGTTTTTGGCTAAGAAAGCCGCTGTACCCTGTCAAAGGACTTTTTAATGGTTCTAAGGAATGCCTTAAGTATTCTATAAATCAAAAGCCTATATTCTCCCAATAGCAAGTCATTTGCTTGTATTTTTTTTCCCACTCTTAGTAACTGTTTTGCCTGAACAGTCATGGAGACTCTAGAGTCAGACAAACCTAGGTTTCCATTTCTACCGCTTACTAGGTATATCCTTGTACAGGTTATTAACTTTACTAAGCTCAGTTTATTCATCTTCCCCAAATTGAAGATAATAATATCTACTTTATAAAGCTGTAAAAAGATTAAATGAAACAATGTCTGTAGACTATCTAACACAGTCCTTGACACGTATGATAGGGTAACTACAATGAAAGTATTGCCCATGTTATAGTTGGTTTGTTTGTTTTATTCTGCTGATTTAAGACCCTCAGCAATTAAATCGAGTTCATAACACCAGGTTTCATAGCGATAGGCCACACGGATTTGGGCTACATTTGTCTTCTGAATGTCATTTCCAGTAGGGCCTTCCTCAAGGTAATTGTTGCCCAGAAAATTTGCTTTTTCCTATAAAAGAAAAAGAAAGCAGAATGATTGCTGTCTCATTTCACCCTGATATAGACAATAATTGCATCCTCCACAAAAATACCTTCCTTACATTAGCCATGGCAACAGAAAGAAAATCAACCATTAAAAGCACTCATCCAGTGCCTCAATGTGCACAGTCTGCTAAGAAATCAAATGTGTTTTATTTCACTTGGCCAAAAGTCATGGCCAGAGGTATAGAATGATTCTTTCTAGTCCCTGTCCATAGTAACTGCATATGCTTTGTAGGTCAGTTTTTCTACATGTGTTTTCTCAACTAATTTTTCAATATTCAAGTTACCAAACCCTATGCTCAGAAGGAAGGATCCCTGGTGGTGCAACAGTTAAGCACTCAGCTGCTAACTGAAAGGTCAGCAGTTCAAACCCACCAGTAGCTCCATGGGAGAAAAGACCTGGTGATCTGCTTCCGTAAAGATTACAGCCTAGGAAACCCCATGGGACAGTTCTGCTCTGTCACATGGGGTTGCTATGAGTTGAAAATTGACTGGACAGCACACAACAACACTCAGAAGGGTGACCAGTCAAGGACAAGTCTACCTCATGAGAAATTCCACACTGCAGGACACTGTTTCTTGCCACTTCACACATATCACAGGTGCTCAGCTTGAAGACTTGTGCAGCAATGGCATATTCTTCCATCAAGGGCTCCTTCAGTTATTTATGTAAATGAAGCAAAATAAAGAAAGTATTAATAAAAGAAATAACATCATCCTGCACAAAAGAGTATAATGAAGTACCTTAATTTGAGTTTAAAATTCTGGGTGGGAAACAACAGTCCAGCAAAATATATTTGTATTGCTGAAGATTCCATATGTATACCTTGGTGAAATGGAATTGCATCGGGTCGTCTGTAGACAGTGAAATCATCAGCCCTTTCTGGAGGAAATCTAAGAAAGGATTTTTGGCATACTCTAGAAATAGGCTGTTGTTACTTAATGGCGACATGGCGATGGGAATCTGAGCTAGGAAAAACAAATACTGTAACACAGCACTCTGGAAAGAAAATTGGAGAGAAAAAGATATTTAAGGATGTTGAAAAGAGATACTAGAGACAATTACACCCCATATTCTATTTTAAACTTCTTAGCTTTCAAAAAAATTATCATCTGCTCTTTAAATCCCGTAGTGAAGAAAATTCTAGTTTTTCAATGTAAATGCTATTTAGAAAAAATCTGTTTGGGTTCATCACTTTTCAGAAGCATTGAGTCAAACCAAGTTGTTTATTTGAACTTCAGTTGCCTTGGCAAGATGGTCTGTCTCAGGCAAAAGACTTCACCTTGAAACTTTTTGTTTTCCCTACCAGAAAGTCCTGACTCTCACCAGAGGCATTTCAAAACATGCCACAACAAGAAATCCAGCAAAAACTAGCTTAAGGTAAGCCAAGTTGCCTCTGAATTATCCCTCATCAGAGTTGAAAAATGGAAGACAGGAGATCTGTGTTAACCAACTACGTAGGCAATCTTAAGCAGGTCCCTTTACTTCTCTGGGCCTCTGTAAAACAAAGTGCACTAAATAATCTCAAAAATCCTTTATATTCCACTCTTCTTTGATTCTAGTGTTGATAATGACTTATGACAGTATGGTAAGAACACAAATGATTCCTGTAGCTCCAGTATAAAAGTTAATATTAAAAAAAGAGCCTCTGACTCACCTTTTTTAAATTTAGGCCATGGGAGATATTATCTGCTGTCATGAATGCTATCAGGAGGTGGGTGAGAGCTCCAGCTTCTCCACAGTGAGGTCGGAACAGAAAAGTATTCATGCCTCGTTCCCTAGGGAAATGGAACTGCTATAGGAATTGCAGGTAACTGAGGAGGACCTGGAAAACCTGGCATAGAGTGATTTACCAGAAAATTTGGTAAAAGGGAATGGGGCAGCCAAAGGATTCAGCAAAACCAGGCAATCCCAAATCATAATCTTAATTCGTGCAATTATTCCTAAACAAAGACTTTTTTTTTTTTTTAAAGACAGCAGAGGATATGGGGGTAAGGAGGGAAGTGAAGAGTTGATTAACTGAACAGAAACATCTTCAGTCTCAACAGGAAATTTACCAATACCACCATCTCACCACTTTTCCTACTCACACTTCAAGGGGTAAGTGTTTTTGGAAAACCCCATTATAGTACCCCTCTGTTTATTCCTTACCCAGATATAGCAAGAAGGGTAAAATTTAGAGTTTTATAATCAATTGTACAGTGATTAGCATAAATTTCCAAACTTCCAAAGAAAAGGAACTGTGGAAGTTACTGAAGGCTCCAAAATATTGATCCCTACCCCTAAATAGATAAAGAAGCTAAAGAAAAATTAAGGGAGAGAAATTTCTGATTTGGGCCAATTGGAAGCATCCCAGCAATGCAACAGGACCAGGTAGAGTGTCAGTGAATGAGGAAAGAGATGTGTCAAATAGACTCCCCTTCTCACTCCAATCCTTCTCTACTTACTTTCTCAGGCTGTTGAGCACCGTGATGTTTGCATACATGTAGTAGGCATAGTAAGTGTAAGATGGATTCTTTTCCGTTGTCCAGTCCTGGGGTTTGGGGCTCTTGGAGGAGAACATGTGGCCACTGTGTTTGGACTCGTCATCCACACTATCAAAGCCGGTGATCTGTCAGAAAAAGTGAGCCATGCCCTGGGTTCGGTCCAGTTGTAGGGCTCCAGTACTTAAGTAAACTTTCAGCTCTGAAGACAGGGTCCAACCATCAGAGGTAAGCACCAGGGATTGATCATGGCCAAGTAGGAGGGCTGGCTCATAAGCAGCAGTATGAAGGCCTAAGGGGTCATGCTTACATGCTTGAGGAAGACACTGAGTTCTGGGTGAGCCTGGGGGTTGATAGTGGCCTCGAACACTGGCATGAAAATATTCTCCAGCATCTTTCCGAAGTGTGGAAGGAAATTCTTGGATCGGAACACATCACTAGAGGCAAGAATGAAGAAAATAGTTGTTATTGTTGTTAGTTGCTGTCGAGTTGATTCCGACTCATGGTAACTCCATGTGTGCAGAATAGAACTGCTCCACAGGGCTTTCAAGGCTGTGACCTCTCAGAAGTAGATCACCAAGCTTGTCTTCTGAGGCACCTCTGGGTGAGTTCGAACCGCCAACCTTTTGGCTAGTAGTTGAGTGTTTAACCATTTGTGCTACCCAGGGACTCTTGAAGAAAATACAAGAGGAAAGAAAGATTTTTAGGACTGATAGCCCCCATATGGGGGAGCCAGAGAACCACAGGCCATGTACAAGCAAAGACTTAGTATTTTCATCCTAGGTCCACTGTACATCTTCTTGGGTACCCATAAAGAGAGATTCAACTTGGGTTGGGCATAGAACATATCAATTTCATGCTGAACCACATGCCCCCATATCTTCTATGAACTCTCTGTAGTAAGGAAACCAGTTTTTCATAGCTAAGGCTAACCATGTTATAAAAGTTTCAATGACTTATATATGTGTGTGGCCTACAAGATGGGGAGCATGAAATGGTTATCAAGAACACTTCTGATTTGCCATAGCCAGGGACAATTTAACAAACTATTATATTGTACTCACTGTATGCCAGTCACTCTTCTAAGGCTAGAAATATTAGCTAATTAAATCCTCGGAATAACTCAATAAGTTAGGTACCGTTATTACCCCATTTTAGAGATGATGAAACTAAGGCACAGGGAGGTGAAGTCAACTCCCAAGGTCATACAGCTAATAAGCGGTGGAGCCAGGATTCAAGCATAGCCAGTCTGGGTCCAGAGTCCTAACCATCACACTCTACTGCCTCTCTGCCTTAATGACATTAGACAGGAAGCACTACTCCAGTTAAAAAGTTACTTTGGCTAAAGAGACTGGATAAGACTCTTGCATAGCCACAGGGCACACAAAACACAGAGGCAGGTGGCCAGAGAATTTATAAACAATTCAGTTAGACAGAAGAGTAGTGATACTGAACAAACAGAGAGAGAAGCCATCCCTGAGGGTAATGATTATGAAAGGGAGCAGAGATCTTCAGCAATATCACTGACAAATACTCATTAATCATGGAGAACTTGAGCACTTGTAGATGAGACAATCAGCAGACAGTAGTAAAGATTCTAATACAAGAAAGCTACAGATAAGCAGGGGAAAGAGTGAATTGAACACAGAGAAGAAAAACAGAAAAAATGTGTGATGAAATATATGTAGTTCTTATTCTAGCTTAGTTTTAATCATTCGCAATAAGTTCTTTTGTGATTTTCATAAAGTCCTGTGTGTGTGTGTGTGTGCATGTGTGTATACCTTCTGATTAGAACACTGGACTGAAATGATCTTCCTAACTCCTGTTTGTGGTGCTGCTCATTCCTTGTTCATGTGGGCGAGATGAGACAGGTGAGATGAGGGCAGGTTTTAGGGTTTCCAATGGACAGGTACGTACTAGATCCTGGGGACCTGGATCATCCATGTCATGTTGGGGCAGTAGATGTGGTTGCGGACAAACCAGGTGGAGAGCTTGCTCCACTCGTCAGGACTCCGACCATAGATTGACAGGCGGGGCTCAGCATGCTGATACTTGGCATCCACCAGGTCTGTACCTACCTCCTACAAAACCAAGAGAGGAGTCCAAGACCAGGAATTCCTACAAGTCCCCCAGGGATCTACACCTATAGGGTCTAGGGAGAGGAGATGGGTACTAAGAACTGAGGAAATGTGAAAAGAAGTAGGAAGCAAGAATATCAAAGGTAGAGATATAAGGGAAGCGAGAGGTGAGGGGAGTCCAGTAGGGATAAAAGACTCATAGAACATAATGGAGATTAACGTGTGAAAAAGTCAGGTTAAGGATGATGAGATAACCAGGGTGCCTGCAAAGGAAATCCAGCTTTTCATATTCTCCCTACCTCCCAAAACACACATCTCCCAACTCCACATGTCATTCCTGCTTCCTAATGCACAGGCATCATGAAGATGGGGATGGATCCTGATCCTAATTCTTCCTGGACCTCCAACTTCCAAAGCCTGAAAGAGTCACGTCCTTAATTAATCCCAGATCCACACTCTTAGCTTTTCTATCCTAGGAACAAAGGTCTTTTAAATTATTACAGTGGAAGTTTTAGAAGAAATTCTTATATTCACTTATGTAGTGCTTGGCCCTAGGGATAGCATCCTGCCTTCCTTCTCCTTTCTCTCCCTTCTTCTTTTTCTCCTTCTCTTCCCCCACCCCCAAGAACTATATCAGATACCACCTCCACATAGATCTGATTGGTTCTTCCTCACCTTGATGATACTGGCAAAATATTCCCCATTAATGTAATTCTCTGTCTTCAGGTAGAGGTCCCGTAGCTCACTCGCTCCTACTGGATTGTATTTGTCATTGAACTTATCAAAACGTTGGAAAGTCTGGCGTCCCTGAATCAGAAAACAGGAACAGAAGTGTATAATAACCGGAGCTGTCTGGACACAGAGAGGTGGGGGAATGGCCGGGAGGATCAGGGGCCTGGTGGCAGGGGAGGAGGGCTGGGCTTCAAGAATGGAATTCAGGACAGCTGCCAATGAGTGGACCTCAAAATTGTCTGTGGCTGTTTTCAGTCAGCATAGTAAGCCGACATGACTAAGAGGGCTCTGAGAAGCTAGGGCTTGTAGGAGAAAGGCATGTGGGGTTCCGGATACTGCAGTGAAACTGACATCATCTTTCCAACCTACAGCATGAACATCCAGAGAATCAACAGTCAGGTCATAGGGATGCATTTTTAATTTAGCAAAAAGTTCCTTGAGGGTCAGATTTTTCTCTTCGGTGCTATAGACCACTCTTTCAGCATCAACATGGTAAGATTTCTTAATAAAGCGCAGCAGATGTTTCTGGTTCATGCAGGCAGCTGCATGGATATGGGTGTCCACCTGTGTGTACATTCAGAGAAGAAAAAAAACAGCAATCAGCCTTAGTTATGCTACTCTGTTAGAGATGATAGTGCATGCAGTTCCACTGTGGTGGGAGAAAGGAGTAAATATAGAGGTGTGACCTGACAGCTGGGGGAGGTAGCCCACCGATAAAGAACAAGTCAGAACCTTCGTGTGCCTGTGCAAGGATGTGAAAACAGTCACAGCCAGGTTAGGCTAGATGCATAAGAATGCTTGCTTCTCCTGTATATCTCTGTACATCAAACTTACCTCCTACATGTGATCTATACAGCATTCTTAGGGACTGTGCCCCACCCCTGAAACACAACTGGGGTAAAGTAGCTATTGCTGCTTTCAGCCCAGAAGACAGAAAGGATTGAAATTATGGAACCATAGCACAGTGATGACATTTGTGAGGTAAGTATTGTTATAAACAATTTGAGGCTTTGACAGTTTAAATAATTTTCCCAAGGTCACACAGCCCGCTGAGCCAGGATTTGGTCCTGAATATCTGCTCATATATTTCCTGTTGCCACTTCCTTGCAATCATTTAAAGAGTCAGCACATACTTGGAAAGTGTTCCTAATTGATTGGTTTTCATAATCATTAACTCACTTGGTATTCAGAACCCTCATGTGAGCTGGATTGAGCAGATATATTTCCCAATTTTACAAATGAGGAAATTGAAACTAAAAATATTTAATCACTTCCCCAAAGTCATACAGTCAGGAAGTGGGAGAAAAAAGGACTAGAACCAAGAAATTCCATATCCTAGAATAGTAGTTTTTGAAGTTTTGTTCTTGTTGATGATGATAATTATAATTTTTTTATGCCAAGAATATGGTAAACCTTTCTATGGGGATAACATGTAGACATAATCTCTCTGCTTTTACTAATCCACTGAACCTGAAGAAATCTCAGATTAATCAGGAAATCAGTATTTTTGTCCTTATCAAGAAGTAATTACTGTTTTTGTTCAGGAATTCCTCTGAGCAACTAAAATTGTTACCTTCCTGCAGTTATAAAAATCTCGGTGGGGGTTGTTCTTCAGTTCCTTTAACTCATCCATCTCATTGAGCATCTCATGGACCTGGAACTTGGAGGACAGGAACTTCAGGCGCCGGTGGGTGTAGGTTTTACTATGAAAAAGAAAATTACATAATTTTCTAAAATTTCCAACATTTCAGGAAACAATCACTGTTTCAAAACCATCAGGACCAGTTGTGCGTCACTAGGGTTGGTGTCACCCAGTGCAGTAACTCCATGCTAACTACCACAATATTGTAGCTAAAACACCAGAGAATTTGACCAAATCAACAACTATAAAGTCTATAAAACCACCAGCAGCAACAAAAACGACAGCATGTGCTTATACCACGCATAGACAAAACCATGTGATTTGAAGTGTCATTGTAATTGGGTAATAATGACAGCTCTGATTAGAGTGCATTAGGCGGTTCAAAAAGTAAATTAGCATAGTTTTAGCCTTGTAGGTATATTGATACATGTGGTGCAGTGGTTAAGACTTATGGCTGCTAACCAAAAGGTCAGCAGTTCGAATCCACCAGCAGCTCCTTGAAAACCCTATGGGATAGTTATACTCTCTCCTATAGGGTCACTATGAGTTGGAATCAACTCATTGGCAACGAATTTGGTAAGCTGGGCTTACTAAAAAATTTCTTTTGTTATAACTAACTACAGGGGTATTTTTATAAAAAATAGTGAATTTCTGCTGAAACACTGCACAGAAATTTTATAGACAGTCATTTTGGTGTCACCCCCTCTGACAGTATCACCCAGTATGGTCTGTACCCCCTGCACCCCTCTAGTGTTGCCACTGATCAGGATCCTTATCACCCACTGGAAATAATTACTGGAATAAATATTTTGGTTTACTCTGCAGTTAATCCCACAGAAAAGTACTGGGCTTCAAGGGTTTAGTCTTTTCATCAAAGTCAGACATAATAATGAGGGACGATTTGAGAAGCCATTTTAAAAATCAGAGGCGACAGTGTCCCTCCAGGTTAACGGCCCTAGCTTTAGAGTCAGCAGTTTTGGCCTTGAACCTCAGCTCAGCCAGCTGTGTGACTTTGGGCAAGTTACTTAACTCATCAGTCTCAGCTGATAAAACTGGAATTTAAAAAATATCTACCTTATAGAACAATTGTGAGGAGTAAAATAAATGATGTACATGAAGCATTTAACATAGTGTTTGAAGGTAGTAAAACCAAAAAAACCAAACCTGTTGCCGTCAAGTTGATTCCGACCCATAGCAACCCCATAGGAAAGAGAACTGCCCCATAGGGTTTCCAAGGATTCGAATTGCCCACCTTTTGGTTAACAGCTGAGCTCTTAACCACTGTGCCACCAGGGCTCCTTGAAGACAGTAAGCACTTAATAAGTATTTATTCTTACTATCAGTAGTAGTGGAGCCCTGGTGGCATAGTGGTTAAAGCTCTTGGCTGCTAACCAAAAGGTTGGCGGTTAGAATCCACCAACCGCTCCACAGGAGACAGATGTGGTAGTCTGCTTCCATAAAGATTTAAAGCTTTGGAAACCCTATGGGGCAGTTCTACTCTGCCCTGTAGGGTCGCTATGAATTGGAATTGATTCAACGGCAGTGGGTTTTTGGTTTTTATCAGTAGTAGTAGTAATTATTTTAATTGTTGTTGTTGTTGTTGCTTAGGTCTCACTAACACACAGGTCCTTTTTTCTTTTTTCACATATAAAAATTTATACATACATTGTTTTGTGACTCTAATTGCTCTTCCCATACTGTGACAGCACACTCCTCCTTTTCACCGCTGATTCCCCATGTCCATTCAACCAGCTCCTGACCCTCTCTGCCTTCCCATTACACCTCCAGACAGAAATTGCCCATTTAGTCTCTTGTATCTACTTGAGCTAAGAGGCACACTCCTCACGAGTATCACTTTATGTCCCACAGTTCAGTCCAATCCCTGTCTGAAGAGTCGGCCTCGGAAATTGTTTTAGTTCTGGGCTGACAGAGAGTCCAGGGGCCTTGCTTTCCGGGGTTCCTCCAGTCTCAGTTCGACCATTAAGCCTGGTCTTCTTACTAGAATTTGTGTTCTGCACCCCACCTTTCTCCTGCTCCATCAGGGACTCTCTGTTGTGTTCCCTGTCAGAGTGGTCATTGGTGGTAGCCGGGGATCTTGTTGTTCTGGTCTTAGGCTGATGAAGTCTCTGGTTTATGTGGCCCTTTCTGTCCCTTGGGCTAATGCTTTCCTTGTGTCTTTGGTGTTCTTCATTCTCCTTTACTCCAGGTGGTTGGGACCAATGGATGCGTCTTAAATGGCCACTTGCAAGCTTTTAAGACTCCAGACGCCACTCACCAAAGTAGGATGCAGAACATTTGTTATGCCAGTTGACCAAGATGTCCCCTAAAAACATGGTCCCCAGACCCCTACCCCTGCTACTCTGTCCCTCAAAGTGTTTGACTGTATTCAGGAAACTTCTTAGCTTTGGTTTAGTCCAGCTGTGCTGACTTCCCCTGTAGTGTGTGCTGTCCTTCCCTTCACCTAAGATAATTCTTATCTATTATCTAGTTAGTAAATAACCCTCCCCCTTCCTCCCTACCCTCATAACCATCAAAGAATGTTTTCTTCTGAAACACTTACACAGGTCCCTGAACAATTAAAGCAAGTAAAAAATTCATATCATCTAAGAAGACGTCCAGATTTGGGTAAGCAAGTGGCTTGGGCTCATCCTTGCTGGCTGCTTCTTTATTAGGATAGATGTAAATGACACCATCCTTCATTTTGGGGTGATAGCCCAGGTTTTCAGGAAGGTCATCTGTTCGGAAGGGGTCTTCTCCCTTCTTCACAGGAGGGCTAAAGACTTTTAAGATAAAATATAGAGTCATATATCAGCACATAGGATGAAATGACCACACAAAAATAACCGAAATATGAAATACTGTAAAATTAGTTGAGATTCCCATACTTCATAAATTATCCAGAGTTAAACTAAATTTTATTTTTACATTATTTTCTGAAGGTGATTGAATTACTAGTTGAAAATAATTACAAAAATAATATTTTACCTAGTGTAAGAACAGTATTTAAGCTGTTAAGAAGTACTGCTGACATATAAGTAATTGATACGCTACTTACAAACCATTTTGATTATTTACTAAAGTAGGTCTTGAAGGTTTCCTGCTTAGAGCATTTTATTCATCTATCAAATAACTGCATAGAAATAAAACTACACTTAAAAAATTACATTTGGATCTTTACCTTATTTAAATCAACCTTCTAGATTACAGAGTTTCAATTTAGAATGGTTTTAACATAAAGGGAGATATAAAATAAACTCTTATTATAAGAATTATAATTCCCATTATAATTCTAACGTTTCCCATCTTTTAAGGCACATACGGTTTCTGCTCAAGGAATTGAGAAGGGATTATGTGGATAAATTTTTGCTTCTTTCCACTGCTAACAATTTCAGCCTAAGGAAGCCAAGAACAGATTCCACACTGTCAGAGCCTTTGAGCACTCATCCTTTTACTTTCAACAGTGTGGTCATTCATGCTTCTTCAGCTCCTTTGTTCAAGGCAGCAGAAAGTCTCCTGTTTGTGAGTGAGGACTAAAGCAGCCAGAGTGAGAACAATAACACACAAAGAAAAAGTCTGCACGTTTCCTACTCAAAACTGGGAGATAAGGAACACAAAAGAAGTGAAACAGTATGTTGCTACATTGAATATTCACTTTCAACCCTTATTCTTAAATAAACTAGAGAGATGAAGTATAATTTAGGGGAAACAGAGGCAAGAAAAACATCCTAATCATAAATATTATTGAAGAGGGTGGGTAAACCAATATTATGAGTTACCAATCTGGACATATGTTTAAGATGATTTTAATATTAAACGGAGTTAGAGAGAGGGAGTTGTAGAACTGGATATCATTAACCATATGACAATTTGGAAGTTCAAAAACCTTAAATATTTGCCTCCCCAGAAATTCCAATTCTAGGAGTATAATCCTAAGTATAATACAACTGCACAAAGATGTTTCTATAAGGATGTTTGGAAATACATTTTTAAAAGTCAGCAACCTAAATACCTAAAAATAGAAATTGCTTAAATTATGATACAGTGATACAACAGAAATCTGTGATATATAATATAATTATTTTTAAAAAACAGGTACTTAGATTTATACAGGCAAAAAGTAAAAAGTGAGGTATGGAAAGTCAAAGCATGTAGAATTTACTTTTATCCAGAGGTTAGAGGAATGCAGGAAATAATGTTATTTGAGCTGCACCTTGAAGGATTAGGTAGGATTTGGACATTTGGCATACAATGAATGAGGGAGAGGACGGGAACAGCATGAAACACAGGGAACAACATGGCAACAGGTCAGGTACAAGGAAATGCCTATCTATATGGAGAACAGGAATAGTTAGAACGAGAACAAAGAATATAAAATGTGTAGAAGAAGCAGTAAATGTTAGAATAGGTTGAGTATGCAAGTCCAAAAAAATTAATTAATAAAGATGTAGTTAGGCAGTCAGATGGTGGTAGGTCTTGAATGCTGGGCCAAAGATTTTGGATCTTGTTTTGTTGGTAATGGGGAGCCATCAAAGGTTTTTGTGAAGAGAGGGATGTGCTTAGAGCTGTGTTTTAATAAGATAACTTGCATCAAAGTGAGGATGAACTGAAAAGGGAGATTGCAATGGAGCAGAGTAGACAGGAGGCTATGGCACTAATCAGGACAAGGGGAAATACAGGCTTACGTTAGGGGAACTGGTAGAGACAAGAAAAGAGGTTTTGACAGATATTGTACTGACCAAATCAAATGATTGGACACGTGAGGCAGGGAGGAGAGTGGAGCCAGTGATGACTATGATTTATTAGACTGGATTATTTATAATGTAGGAGCATGTTTTAAATTCAATATTTAGTAGTTTAACCTAAAGATATATTCTCTACATCCTACAGGAAAATTAATTACCTGGATAGAAGCTCTCATTTGTTACCCAAGCCTCACCCTCAATGTTGCGCAAGTACTTGGAAGGGGTTTTAGGGAACCTCTGAAACGACTTCTGCATGTATTTCTCCCGTATACACAATGCCCGATACAGACCTTTGCAAACCATTTCAAAATCTTCAACTGTAACCTGCCAAGGAAATTTCAGAGTATCAGAGTCGATCCCATAAAAATCTGAGAAGTGGATAAAGCTTATCTTTGGCACCTCCCAGCTCTCCATTGCAGTCCAGGCTGAACCTCACCCCACCCACTTGGCATGCAGTGTCTTCACCAGACCTGGCTGCTTCCTAATTGACTCAGGCATTGGGTCTCACTACAGCAGCAGGTCCTGAAGGTTTGCTAGCTCCTTCATCTCTATCAAAACTTACCTGCCCTGCAATTCATTCCCTTACTGTCCTGTAGTTGTTTTTTTTGTTTTTTTTTACTACCTAGCAGTGGTTATCTAGCAGATATGATTAAAATAACTCATTCTAAAAAGGTAAATACTTTCTTCCTTCCAGATAACATATAGACATTTTAGGTAGAGGCCTCTGAAGACAATACCGGGACTAAAAGATAATGTGACCCTAATCGTGAGAATTCAAACCATTTGCATGTTAGCAAGGGAAATATTTTGGAAAGAACAAGGTGTCGTGAATCCCTCCAACCCCATCACACATGCACTGCCTTCTGTAGCTACAGATAGATTAGAACATTATCCTGTGAGAAGTCATTCTTTTGGATGGTTTAAGGAGCGTTTTACCTATGGCTAAAAATAGACTGTAGCATAAATTTTTATTAGAACTGTGGGAAATTTCCCAAACTGACCTATTTCTGCTGCCCCTACCCCTGATTCTTGACTGAGCCGGGAATGCCCAAGCAGTTCTAACTTGAAATCATTGAATACTCTTTTCTCTCTCTCTCTCCCTCTCTCTGGGATCAACCTAAGCTTGTTCCCAATGGTTTTGAGGTTCAGATATTGATCCTAATCAGATTAACTGTTTATAAGGACCTGCTGACCTTGGTAAAGAGTCTGACACACGGTGCTAAGTAGGGGGTCTAGCTTCTAAGGTCATGCTTTTTCCATTGCCACCTAATGGGCCATCAGTCTATCAGCAACTCAAGGGCAAGAACATCCAAAAACCCGTTGCCAGTGAGTCGATTCCAACTCATAGCGACTGTTTTAGTTATCTAATGCTGCTATAACAGAAATACCACAAGTGGATGGCTTTAACAAACAGAGATTTATTCTCTCATAGTCTAGGAGGCTAGAAGTCCGAATTCAGGGCATCAGCTCCAGGGAAGGCTTTCTCTCTCTGATGGCTCTGGAGGAAGGTCCTTGTCATCAATCCTTCCCTGGTCTAGGAGCTTCTGAGAACAGGGACCCTGGGTCCAAAGGACACACGTGCTCCTGGCTCTTTTTGATTGGTGGTGTGAGGTCCCCCTGTCTCTCTGCTCACTTCTCTCTCTTATATCTCAAAAGAGATTGACTCAAGATACAACCTAGTCTTGTAGATTGAATCCTGCCTCATTAACATAACTGCCTCTAACCCTGCCTTATTAACATCATAGAGGTTGGGATTTACAACACAGGAAAATCACATCAGATGACAAAATGGTGGACTATCACACAGTACTGGGAATCATGGCCTAGCCAAGTTGACACATATTTTTGGAGGACACAATTCAATCCATAACAGCGACCCTATAGGAAGAGTAGAACCGCCCCATAGGGTTTCCAAGGAGCAGCTGGTAGATTCAAACTGCTGACCTTTTGATTAGCAGCCAAACGCTTAACCACTGAACCTGGGTCTTATTCACATTCACATCCTCAGCACTTACCACACAGTGCCTCACACAGCGTAGTTCTCGATAAGGACTGATTAAACTGAATCAGTTGTTTATCAGGGATTAATGGCCTTGGGAATTTAGTCCTGCTATCCCTTTTACCTCTCTTTTTTATTTGGATACAGACTAAATCCAGGTGGAGTGTTGCCCAACTGCATCTAGCCAATAGCTATAGCAATATACTTGGTTCTTTAAAGTCTCCAGGCCAAACCCCCAGCTTTCTTAGGAGGACTCCCTGACTTCTGTGTGCATTGTCCTCTTCCAGTCTTCTTCCTTTCTACTCCTGTTTTCATTTCTACCTAACACGTAGATAGCAAGTTTGTTTTTCTAATTTTAGTATATTTTTTGAACGCTGGAGATTTCTCCAGTTTCCAAACTTTGTTTCTCATGTGCTTATCAACTATTAAACATTTCCTTTCAGCTATTTAGCATCTAAAATCCCCGCCATTTGCAGAGCACCCATGTTATTACACAGAAAATGAATAAACAAGAATGGTGTGCATTTCATTGCTCTATCACTTTTAAGTAGCTTAGGATTTATCCTAAGTGGGTCAGTTACATGAGAAGGGGGCCTGGACTGGTCATTAGAACTATATTTGGAGCATTGACTGATGGCTAAAGAGCAGTTTCATCAATATGATGCTGATTCTGCAAGTCCATGTGGCAGAGATTTATGAATTGGCCAACTGTTATGGATAAGACAAGCAGGTCAAGTTGTTTGTGGCATAAATTTACTAGCCCTGTGGCATAGTAGAGGAAACCCTGGTGGCATGGTGGTTAAGAGCTACGTCTGCTAACCAAAAGGTCAGTTTGAATCCACCAGGCACTCCTCGGAAAACCCACGGGGCAGTTCTACTCTGTCCTATAGGATTGCTCTGAGTTGGAATAGACTCGGTGGCAATGGGTGGGTGTGGTGTGAGTTTATTTATCTTATACACTAATGGTGCTTGAAGAAAAACCCCTCAATGGCAAGGGGTTTGGCTGTTGGTCTGTTTGTTTTTTGGTGGTGTACTAGAGTCCATTTCAAGCAATAATACATGGTGTAAGCATCTTCAGTGAAATTGGAGAGGACAGTCAGACAGAAAACATAGCCCTGTTGGAATTTTCTAACCTCTCTCTCATCTTCCTTCTTTTTTCTCTGATCTCTCTTCTCTTTTTCTTTCTATTGATTTGTTTTCTTTGATTAGTTCATGCTACTTGCAGCCCTTCTGTCTATTCCAGGTCTGCACGGGGTCTATCTTTTCCTAAGAGTGCCCTGTGCTTCCCCGAGTCTCCTAATCCTGTTTTGTGCTGCTATCGGTGAGACTAGACCACCTGCTTCTCTTGTTGGACTTTTTTTCCAAGATCTGTCCATACGCATTCCATACATGTAGTACATACATATTCTCCATGTGTAAGCAAATGAGACAACTAAGAAGACATTATGTTGAATGATAAAAGCAGTATAGAAATATTAGACATAGCACATTAGTATTGAAATGCAATAATGAAGTATAACATAGGACAGGAAGGGGAGAAGCTAGAACAGTCAAGCTGAGTGGCTTCCCAGTAGCTACATCTGAAGGGCAAGGAGCAACTCACCCCAGAGGCATAATCGCCTGTGATCTGCACTCTCTGGAAATCAGGCACAGTCTGGTAGGTTGGAGATGAAGAAATGTATTCATCAATGTGGGCCAGTTTGGTGGAAGATGCTTCACTTAGGGGGATAGACAAACTAACAGTCTTCCTCCCTTGGAAACGCCTTTTTCTGTGTTTAAAATTAAAAAATAAGTCAATTTTATTTTCATCAGAAGTTCTAATGTGATAGATTGATATTTCACTATTGAATTTTGAGGACAAAAAGTGAAAATTAAAATGTGGGCTGGATGTCAGAAATAGGATCCATCCATAGTGTGATAAGATATCACTGAGGACACATAACAGTGTCCTCTTTTTCCTGCTGTACCTTGGAACAGTGGGTCTTACGGAACCTACTAAAAGACATTTAGCATGACATTATCCCTCACAGGCAGTTTACTCCTAGCAGAAAAGGCAGTCTGGGTGCTGCAATAACCCAGGCTATGTCAGTTACTACCTGGGTCATTTTGTGGATATTCCCCGTCTGAAAAAGCTTCCATCTCCCCATCTGAAAAAAATGGTGTAATAATACCTACCTTATAGGATTTCTGTGAGATTTAATGTGTATAAAATGCCTAGCAAAGTACCTGGATCTTATAGAGTCATTAATCAATATTATTTCCTCAAACAGTAAGTATTTATTGTTTCTACTTTGACCTGAGTCTTAGGTTAGGTCCTGTGGGGGGTTGCCAAAGAAGGTGAAACATTGTTCTTTCCTTAAAAATATAAAGTCAAGAGAATGACAGCAGAATGATCTTTTCCACCTGAGGCTGGGGAGGGTGCTGTGAAGAGGGAATTGCAATACAGGTTGGAGGACTAAAATGTGGCAGATAGTGACAGATAGCGAGTCTTAGAGTAGTTCAAATAAACAGACTTTGTGTATAGGGGCCTATGAAGACTGCATGGGGGAGGCAATAAGTATGCATCACAAGGCACAGGATGGGGAAGGCCTGAGAGCAGAAATGGAGAGCTGTATCCCTGAGGCTGGAAGGAGGTCAGACTGGCTAGCTGGGAGGATTCATGTCAGGGAGCACTACACTAAGGTTGGCTAGGGAAGGAGTTTGAAGATGAAGGATCTTGAATTCCAGTGTGTATAACCATTGTGTGTAAGTTGAGTGTGTTCATAGCAGCCTTCAGCCCACTTTGGAACAACTGTATAGGTAGCTTGAGCCTCTTGTTTGGGCTAAACAAAGCTGCCTATGAGGCTAGGAGGTCCACTGTTTTTTAATTTTTTTAGTCATTGGTACCTCTCCCCAGCATATACAGTGTTGGGGGAAAAGCATTTATAACCCTGGCAGACTTCTTCCACTGAGTTGAACTACGTTCCGATAGACTGAGCCGTATCTGCCTGACATTCCGGACCTTCATGTCCACTGTACTAAGCATTCCCCTTACACACGACTTACCTCTTGCTGTCAGTGGAGGACAGAGTTTCCTGGTGGAAAATGCGTGCTTGCATCTCATGGTGAGATATCGGGCAGATCTCATCCACATCAAAGGGGGAAATCTCTTGACGGCCTCCCTCATCTTTGACTTCAGAAGCAAACACTTTTTCAGCAAAGCTACGCGTTGCATCATCAATTTCTAAAAGGGGTTTTCATGTGTTAGTGTTCAAACTCTTTCCCAAAAGTCGTCTGAGAGTTTCTGTTATGTCTAAGGTACAGTGCTAAGGACTGCACTGGGTGCACAGCGCCCTGCTCCACACTGGAGTCCCAGAGACATAATGGAACTCAATGCCTGCTCTTTCTTTTGTAGGTTCTTGTATGAGTAGCTTGGAAATCTGCTCTCAGAAACACAGGTCAGAGTCTCACAGCACTTTTCAGAATGGTCCTAAAGATGGTCCTTAAACTGGGATTGGGTTCTTGCAGGACTAACACTTAATAGAAGGCCACCTATTTCTGGCAGGGCTATGTTCGATTTGATAGTGACCATGCAGCCCAGTTCTTCCCATTAGACTGGTAGGGTTTTCTGATGGCTTTTGAAGATGTGGACAGGGTACCGGTCCTTGGAGTTTTTCTTCCTAGGGAGAACAGTAATCTAAGTAGTTCTGAGAAATAAATATGTATTTATGGTCTTTATTCTTTTTTAGGACAGATACTGTGTTTCTCTCACACATCACAACCTTGTATGTTTTCAGTCCTGACAACTTGGTGATATGTTGGTGTGTGGGAGGCAGGGAGTTACTAAAATTCACTACCTAGCACTGGGAGACCCATTTCTTGTGGACATGTGACCTTCCATAATGACTGACTCCTGGAAAGTCAACTTTACTTTCATATGCCTTAATTTTCCCATTCTTAAAATGAGGGGTGACACTTATCTCAACAATGAATAACGCCAAGGCCCTCAGGAAAAGAGAACCAGTTTCATTATATAGAGTGATGATGAACATCAAGTCTCTGCTCTTCTCTTAAGTTCCACCTTGTTCTCCAGATGCCCAGTTGCTTCCATCTGAATAATCATTACCTCTAATACTTCTAAAAGTCTCTGGTATTTCCAGAAAAGAGCATGTGGCAATAATGAGAATGGCACACAGCTAGTTATCTGGAGCAACAGCAGATGACAAACATTCCCCAAAGGATGACAGAGCAAACCACATGCAGATGTAGACCCCCTTGCACCATAATGTCTATACAGGCCTCAAAAGGCCATGTTTTCAATTCTAAAACTTAAGTAGGTGTAATGTGTTCAAGTCTTTGCTCTGCACTTATCGACTCCTTCACCTTCCTCTGTCTCTATTTCCTTATCTGTAAAGTGGGAATTCTAATACCTATCCAATTTCACTCACAAGACTGTTGTGACTTCAACTAAGATAAAATGGAAATGCTTTAAGGAAAATAAAGCACCCAATTAAATTGACTAATGTAATATGGTAGCATTGGTCAAATAGATATTTGGGATTTGGGGTTGGCTTTGGGCTATTAAGGAAATGATAAATGATATGACTCTATACAGGCTGAAGCATATATTGGAAAGGATAGACACGGATTCATAACATCACCATCACTGTCAGGTCAGCCAGTTTTAAAAACCTGCCTGTCACAACACAGTTAATAGAGAATCTCACTGTGTTGGCTGCACTTCGTGCATCTGTTTGCCTCATTAAACTCTGGCACTTCCTGAAAATGAAAAGCATCTTTGGATGTTGTGAGTAGTTCTTTG